GCCCGTCATCAACCTCTCACACTGGGGAGACGAAAAAACAAAAGACCCCCCAAGCCTTCAGAAATGTGAGATACATTGTTGGAATCAAAAACTCCAGAGGAAGAAAGGAAATCTCAGGCCAGCCGTCTGAATCCACCCCAAACAAGATTCCAAATTATGCTCTCGACTTCTCCAAACGGCCATTTCTGCTTCCCCAGGAGGCCGGTTCAACAGTTTGAGTGACTTTCCCTTATTCTAAGTGACTGAAGGGTCTGTTTTCAATCACCTCCTTCTAAGGATCTGTTCTCCACTATCCCATTCTAAGGATCTGTTTTCCATCTTCCCAGAGTGCAAGACACATAAGAATGAGCTAAAAGCTACAGGAAACCAGATTTCAGGTGACTATCAGGAAAAACGTCTTAACTGTTAGAGCAGTACGACAACAGAACCAACGACCTGGGGACCTCCCACTGAGCGCTCCAGTGCTGGAGACATTCCAGAGAAAATCAGACAACTCTCTGTCAGATCTGTGTTGATTTGGATTCCTGCACTGAGCAAGGGGGTTGATGGCCCCGTAGGCTCCTTCCAACTCCATGATCCTATAGATCTGTGTTGATTTGGATTCCTGCACTGAGGAATGGGGTTGATGGCCCCATAGGCTCCTTCCAACTCCATGATTCTATAATTTTATAGAAATCCATTCACCAAGGCTGTTTCTGGCAGAAAGAGCTTTCATGCTAAAAAGCGTTCGTATTTTTCGTCCTGCCCGTTGGTGGAAAAGCAGTCCCTGAAAAAGACTCTCCTGCTGAAAGAGATTCCTGATCCCTCGAACAACAGCGAGGGATCCTTCCTGGAAGAACATAATTCCGGCCACTCTTTTATTGCCATTCTCAAGCCAGTGGCCAGAATCCCGTCTTCAATTTGCACATGAGTAAGGGAAATTTGCACTCGTATTTTTCGTCCTGCCCGTTGGTGGAAAAGCAGTCCCTGAAAAAGACTCTCCTGCTGAAAGAGATTCCTGATCCCTCGAACAACAGCGAGGGATCCTTCCTGGAAGAACATAATTCCGGCCACTCTTTTATTGCCATTCTCAAGCCAGTGGCCAGAATCCCGTCTTCAATTTGCACATGAGTAAGGGAAATTTGGACATGAGTAAGGCACGTGGTGGCGCTGTGGGCTAAACCACAGAAGCCTGTGCTGCAGGGTCAGAAGACCAGCAGTCGTAAGATCGAATCCACGCGACGGAGTGAGCGCCCATCGCTTGTCCCAGCTCTCGCCAACCTAGCGGTTCGAAAGCATGCAAATGCAAGTAGATAAATAGGGACCACCTCGGTGGGAAGGTAACAGCGTTCCGTGTCTAAGTCGCACTGGCCATGTGACCACGGAAAGATTGTCTTCGGACAAATGCTGGCTCTATGGCTTGGAAACGGGGATGAGCACCGCCCCTAGAGTCGAACACGACTGGACAAAAATTGTCAAGGGGAACCTTTACCTTTTCTTAAGGGAAATTGCCCAAACTGTGGCAGCAAACTGCCTCCCATTTACAAAGGGCTCTCTGTAATCTTGGCCATGCACCTCTCTAATTCTAATAATAATTTTAAAACGCCCAACGGGATGGGGAAAGTTCCCAAGTCAGAGGATTTAAAAACTCAATGGTTAAATGTTATAGGCAAAAACTGAACTACACCACCCAAAGGTTACTAACCTTGATCGCTAACTGCACAGCTTACAACCTACCTTACATGTCATGAATTTTCTGCTGAAATCTAATCGTTCTGCTGAAATTTAATTTCTCCACGCAAAGCAACTCACGCTGATCTCCACCTTGGACAATATCCCTATTACATAGTTACACTGGCAGATGAGAAACAGCATTACCTCCAGCAGCAAATTGCTGCTAATTAAAGAGTCCCTGTTCTGATTCATTGGTGTGAGTGCCGGCTGGGTGGCAACCCGTGCAACCAGGAACCCAATCATCGGTGAACCAGACGCAATCTGCCACAGTGAGTTATGCTATTTCTGTTCTCGTGGCATAAAAACGCAACAGGATATTGCCCAGGAAGTGATCAAAGAAACTGGGGCACTTCCTCTGAAACTGGGACTTAGCAGAGTAAAACCGATGGCTATTTGGCACAGAAATCTCACCAGAAACCTACGCAGCAAATAAAGCATACCAGTTCTCCATGAAAAGAAATCGAAATTTTTTTTTGAAAGGAGCTATCACCTCTCTGTTCATCACCATCAGGAAGGTTTCCATCACAGACAGCACTTGGTTGACGTCAAAATCTGCCAACGTTCCTCTGTCTGGTAGTAACAGAAGCCCGCCTGGATCCTGGTCACTGCCAAAGAAAGGACACGTGTGCCTTATCAACACGGAGCTGCTCTTCAAGTCCACCGGCCCCCAACCATCTGAGAACATCCAGTACCCTAACTTTGCAACATCGCAAGCATTTCCACTGTTTTCAACTGGGGGAACCATCATCTCAGAGGAAACTGGACGACATACTCAAAACTGGTTCATTTTTCTTGCCCGAAAGCTCGAATTTCCAGACACCATTCCACTCATTAGCAGACGCGCGTTGAGAGAATGACAGATATTTTGGAAATATATATTCATTACGGGACAATCTGTGGCCAGAATCCTATTTCTGTTGTGCCTGAGATCTGCGTAAAGTCTGAGTAACTTGCAGAAGCTAATTGCGGTTAGTTACTGTACTGGGGTGCCTGGGCATGTCCAAGGATGAATACATGGTCACATGCCTAGTTGCACAATGCAGATCCATCCTGGCATCGCATCAATTAGCTACAATTAGCTGCAACAAATTACGCAAACCTTCCATAAATGCCAATAGGATTCTGGCCAGTACAATCATCATCCTCATCATCTTGGAACTGCAGAGCTGGAAGGGACCTAACGGATCCTTGAGTCCAGTCCTTGCCAACTTCTGGCTCTGTTGCCAGAGACCTCAACCACTCAGCTCTCCAGCCCATTCAGAAGTAGTTTACCCTTTCCGTTCCTCTGGGAACGTGCAGCTTGCTCGAGGCTACGCAGGCTGGCTCTTTCTCCTAGGAGGCCCCAATTAGGGGAATCGGACTCTGGACCGCTGGCTCTGCAGCCAAAAACCCAAACCACTGAGAAACCCAGCAGTCCATGAAGCATCTCCTTACCTGAAATATGTGCAGAGGGATTTAAAAGCCAGTTGGACAGAAGGCTTGTGTTCCTGCTCTGTGATGTTCTTCTAAGGAACAGAAAAGATTTGTTTTAAAAATAGCAATTTTTTTCCCCCGCAGCAGGAGAAACTAAAGAATCACCTGCTTCATAGACGGGGAGACCCAACAGTCCATGACATGTAAACACTCGCTCACTCGCTTCCACTTCTCATTTTTATAAGTTTTTTTTCTTTCTAATGTATTTGTATGAAATGTCTGTTATATTTTGATAAATTTGTTCATTATAATAATTTTTAAAAAATAAAAGACTATAAACACCCACAAGAGGACTTTTCAAAGGACTCGGGATTTGATCTTAAAGAGAGGCCCAGTTTCTGCCAGGAGCAAACAAACAAACAAACAAAAAACCACAAAGAATCGCGGCTCTCCTTTCTATGCCTGCTACGTACCAACATTGCAAAAAGCTGCTCCCGCCGGGAGTGTCGGTGGGGGAAAAAGATGGCTGCTCCGTTGATGAGCGTGTTATTCACTTCCTGCTTCAAGGTCGTCAGGGAGGTGGACTCACTACTGCTGTCCACCACTGTTCACCAAAGAAAGAAAGAAAGAAAGAAGACAAATAAAGACGTAGAAGAAGCTGAATCCCATTTCCTTTTTCACGCATCTAAACTAGAGGCTCAGTTGGCCTCACTAAGCCCTATATATTTTAGAGTACATATTTAAATTGTATTTTAATTGTTTTATCTTTTTATTGTATTTTAATTGTTGTAAGCCACCCAGAGACCTTTGGGTAGAGTAGGCGGCATATAAGTTAAATAAATAAATAAATAAAATAAATAAAGGGGGCCACTTGAGACAGCTGTCTCCCCCCCCCCGACTAAGGACTCCTGCATCACAGGTGCTGAGATTTAAAGTGGGGGTGTTTTTGTATTACTTCTTGCTTGTTAGGCACCCCGAGAATCCTTCGGCGGAAAGGCAATAAATGGATCTTCAAAAGAAAAGGCCAAGAAAAGGCAGACCCGTCCGTCCCATTTTGACAAGCAGGACGTCCTCAGGGGTTTAGGTAGAGAGAGGCGTTCACGAGCCCTGCTGGACTTTGGACCCTCGACATTCAAAGCAGCTGCCCGACTGCCGGATGACTGCTTTGTCTTATTGTTTATTTTAATTTACAAGACAGAACCTTCAGCAGCCGCCGGACGACTGACTGGGGGGGGGCACCTAATGCCACAGCTCCAACAATGGGACTGGCAATCAGTCCGTTTCCGGGCCCAATTCAAAGCCCTATTTTGGCTTGGGTCCAGGCACCTAAATCTCCCCATATGAGCCTTCTTGGCACTGGAGATCCATCCCAGGAGGCCTTTCTCTCGGTCCCACGGCCAGCGCAGGCACGGCTGATGAGGACACAGGTGGGCGCCTTCTCTGTGGCAGAACCCAGGCTATGGGATGCTCTCCCTCGGGGGGGGGGAGATCAGGCTGCCCCCCCTCCCTTTTTCTCCTTCCTCCAACAGCTGAAGACCCACCTTTTCAAGCAGGCTTTTAACCACCGTGACGGAATCCCTGAGAACCTTTTTTTTTTTTAAAGTTGAGCTAGTTTTTAGCGTTTTACCAGTTTTAAATTATTCAATTGTCTTTCAATTTGTTTTTTCAATTAATTTTTTTTCTTAACGCACAACTTATTTTAATTCCCTTCTTTTCAGGACTGCGAGCTGCTTGGGGTCGTCCCCCACCACCTTTGTCGGAAGAAAGCCACCCTCTATAAAGCAGAATAAAAAATAAATAATAGATCAATGTTTACTCATCAATGAAAGTACACCCAGGAGGACCACCGTTTAGTGCACCATCTCAACGCTACTGATACGGTGCTGGGTGGATCTCTTTCCGAGAGCTGGGCGGGCCACGGACAGAACCACAGGTGAAAAGAAGGTGTGTTTTCAGGAGGCAGGGTGAGGGCCAGAGGGGGGGGTGTCACCTTCACACAGATGCTTGTAGAGTTCCCCTGCCGCTTCTATGCTGTCAGGCGTCTTGCTCGGAGCCGCTTCCGAAGTCTTGGTGGTTTTGCCCTCCGAAGCAAGCACCGGGAAGCAGTTCTGGAGGAGACGCAGCAACAGGATCCGTGCATCGACGCACTCTTCTCTCGGGCTAAAGGGGTGGGTGGGGGAGAAGCACAAGACTGTGGTCTAGGCATACACAACAGCAAAACGAGCACTCGTTTAGAGGCAGGTTTTCGAAGGAAAGGCAAGAGACAGGATCCCATCCATCCACTTGCCTGCCCGCCCACCCGTCCTAGATGTCACTCCCAGGGACCTACAATTGATGGAGTTGACTGTAGAAATTCCAGAAAAGCTTCAAATCCAGGCCTGAGAAGTCCAAGTACGATCTGTATCGTAGGCCGCTTTCTTTCTTCTGAGCCTAGGGAGACATGGCAAGACGGGGAGCCTCAGGGAGGTTTCCGGACCTGGCGGCTCCTTCCGGGGAGGCCAAGAGACCGGGCAGAGAAGACGGCGGTGGCCGATGGATGGCTCGCTTGCTTTTAAACCCCACTCTAGGGCGGGGGCTCCCACCCATGGGGGCCCCCAAAGGGTCTTGGGATTAAAATCCCCAGAAGAGAGACCTTCCTCCCATTTTCAGGAAGGAGGGGTCAAAGGCGGAAGTCTAGTCTTGGCGGAAGAGGCCACTACCCAACAGAAACAGAACAGGCTTCTTCAAGACGGGGTTTATTCTGCATTTTGATTATTGCTAGGCTGTCTTTCTCCTAAACTAGGATCCAAAGTGGCTTACAGTCATGAACGAAACAAAGTTAAAAACCAACTCATAAATGGTTAGAATGTCTGTTTTTAAAAATGCATTAAACAAACATATGAAAACTACTAATCATGGCAAGGTTAAAAACACCAGTGAAGCACAGACTAAAAAGCTCCCTTTAAAGAGTCAACCAGTTATTTCAAAGAAAGCCGGCCTGAAGAGAAAGGTCTTGGCCGGCTTGCGGAAGGAGAGCCAAAAGGGAGTCAGGCTGGTCTCCAGTGGCAGAGAGTTCCAGAGTCTCTGGGAGCCGCCACCAGGAAGGCCCTCTCCTGGGTCCCCACCAAGCACACCTGTGAAGATGTTGAGACTGAGAAGAAGGCCTGAGGATCTTACCACTCAAGCAGGCTCATAAAGTGCTTCAGAATAAAGCAATTCACCGTATTTTTTTAACCAGAATATCCTTTTTCCCCCCATTTTGTGTTGTGGGTTGCAACACACTGCTCACCGGTTGTGCGGTCAAGGAGGCTACCCAGGGTTGAGAGTCAACCGCAGAGCACATACCATGTCCTGGGCCACCTGCTGGATGAAGGAGAGCGTCTTGAGGAGCAGCGTCATCCCGCACACGGCATCCCCCTCTGGCTTCCCGCACTCCAGGCAGCTCTGGCTCCTGTCCGGCTCCACCGACGGAGGACGGAGGTACCCGAAAACGCTCAAGCCTTGCACCCCAAGGCGCTCGGCTTTCTCCTGCCTCGTGCACAAGAACTTCACCATCAGGTACTACGGAGGGAGAAGCAGAGAAACACCTCCAAAGGTTTATATGGAAGGCGTGGCGCCCCTTTCGACCCAGACTTCACCCTTCTGCAGTCAGCATATGGCGTTTTCTGTGTTTTAATCGGGAGTCAACAAATTGAGAAGAAACCATGGGGCTCCAAGAGGGGAGACTAACACAAGTTATTATGAGCGTGACGCTGCAAAATCAGATTGATCAGGATTGACCGGACTGCTTGGGAAACCCAATCAACACAATCACCATTCAAATTCACGCTCCAACTATATACGTAAAAGAGGAAATTGGACATTTTCGTGCCACGGTTTCAGGACTACCCATCTCGCTGACAGTAAACAATAATGACTTGAAATGATTCCTGCTGGTGAAAGTGTCGAAGCAAGATTGCAGTTCAAATTAAGGACTACAAAAGACCTGCATGACTTTATGGAGGGCAAGGAATAAACGGAAATGGTTAGGTTTTTTTAATAATATGGTTCCATGATCAATCAAAAGGGAAGCTGCAAGCAAGAACTCAGAATGGGCCCATAACCGTCTGCAACGGTGGCAGCGGCGACAGCAGAGTGAGAGAGACCAAAAGGTTACCTTAGAAATTCTGCACTGCTGCATTCTGACTTCCACTTCATCCCATTCCTCTTCCAACTCGAACCAACCGACCGGATCCTGCTCTCCCAGCTCATCGCGAGAAAGGTTGCTCCTACACATCGAACACACACACACACACAATCTGACGGTGACCAGCAAGTGGAAAGCTTAACTCCAACAAACCCAAGGTCTCCTTAGACCTTTCTCCTTTCCATCAGCATAACCCTCCACCATGGTGCAGCAATCGGAGGACGACAACATGACTGCATTTGAATAAATGTAGATTGTTGTACATGAAAAAAAAACTATCCCCTGAAAATAAACCCCAATGTGTTTTTGGAGCAAATATTTATATAAGATCCTGTCTTATTTTCAGGGAAACACAGTAACTCGCCTGGATGGAAACAGACTTGTAGATACAACCTTTGGAAGTGTGCCTATTTGTGGTTTTGGACTACACTTCCCAGAATTCCCCAGGCACCCTATGGAATTCTGGGAATTGCAGTCCAAAGGCAGAGGGACATACACCACCTCCAGATAGGATGCCAAAACCCGTCTTCTAAAGCAGTGGTTCCCAAGCTTGGGTCACCAGGAATCCTTGGACTACAATTCCCAGAAGCCTTCACCACTCACTGGGCTGGGCAGTATTTCTGAGAGTTGCCGTCCAGGGACACTTGGGGACTCAAGCTTGGGGACCACCGGTCTAAAGGAAGAAAACTCACATTTAGCTTCGTTCAGCACAACATGCATAAATCAGCAAGAATTCTGGGATCAATCAGACCAAACAAGGAAGCACCTTGTGTATTGCTAATAAACACGGATTGTTTAGCTGCTCAAAATGATGTGGCCTGTTAGGCTTCTATAGGCTTCTTGTTTAAAAGCCACATGCTGATTCTTAGACAAAGCGTGGCAGCAACATCATCACCCATGGGCCTTCGAAAGCTCCACCTACCTCCCCATAGTCCCCGCCCACAAAGGCAGGTAGGGTGAAAATGAACAAGATTTCGGCAGAGGGGCCAACGCAACGCATTTCTCTCCGTGTTTACCTGGTCTTTAAGAAATGCCGGAAATCCTCCAGCTTCCACTTGTCGTAGCTCTCAAATCTTTTGAAGTGTTCTTCCGCGTGAAATTTTTCTGAGGGGCAGTTGTAAGCGAACACCAAGCCGCACCGGGCTCCGATAGCTCCCTTCCGTACCTGGAAGGAGAACAAAGCGGTCCTCAGACATGCGCTGGGAGGAAGAAGGCAAAAACGCTTTGTTTCCGGAAAAAGAGTACAAAAGCTGTAACACAGCCAAAGGTACGGACGACGATCCTGTGGTGCCTTTCAAGCGAGGAAACCTTCCCAGCACAGGCTCTGGACGGCCAGCGCTATCCCTTGGCCGAGATTCCAGTTTTCTGTACTCGCATTAAGCCCTCCTCGCCCTGCCCCCCCCGAGTTATTCCTTGGGAATATTGTTCCTTCCCATGATTTCAGGAAAAATATCCCAACTGATCCAAGAGCAGCCATTCTTAAAGTAAGGGAGGGAAGAACGTGTGCTGTTCATTCTTGAAATGACGGTTTGTCATCACAACTCGGCTAAAATAGCAGTTATCTGCCATTTCCCTCCCTGAGTTTCTGTGGAGTGCAGCAGCAGGAGAGGGTCTGGATTCCTGAAGGGCTGCTGGCCCTCGTCTCGACCCACAGTTCCTGCCTGATTTAGGAGAACTTGCGTTTTGATTTATTTTCCCTCCTGGAACAGCCTGAAATTTCACGGAAGCACAAGGCATGTAAGCAAATGGACAACAAGTTACACAAACCAGCTGCTTGGATGTTTTGTGTCTCATTTGTTAGTCTGGAGACGAGTTTCCGAAGTCCACAAGGGGCAGAGTCCGTAAACCGACATCCTCGCCTGCCTAAGACTCTCCAGGCCGTTCAAAACCTCTGGTCACCTTCAGACACCCCACCTCCCCAGCCCTCAACAAAGCAATCCACCCTTTCGAAAGAAAGGACATCGAATGTTTCGCGAGAGCGTCCAGACCTTGATGCGGATCTGTGTGACCTGCAGAGCTGACTCGGTCCCGCTCGAGAGGATGACACTGGCTCTCCTCTTTCCCGTCTCTGTAAGGAAGCCTTTGAAGAAAACACAGGTCTCATCAGTGTACCCTGAACTTTCTGGAGGCGGGCGTTTCAAACACAGAGCAACTCTGGGAATGAACAGGATCAAATCCCTGCTGGCTTGATTTCCTTCATGAAACCCAGAACAGAGAAGGAAATACGGCAATCCTCCAGGTCATTAGTTCCCAGACCCTGGGTCTCCAGGGGTTCTTGGACTACAACTCCCAGAAGCCTTCAGCACGAGCTGTGCTGGCTAGGATTTCTGGGATTTGTAGTCCCAGAACACCTGAGGACCCAAGGCTGGGAAAGCATTGCACGAGCTGTGCTGGCTAGGATTTCTGGGACCCAAGGCTGGGAAAGCATTAATGCAGAGGAGCGCAATCCCAAAGCCCCTCCTTATGGGTGCTGCGGATTATGGCCCATAAAGCTGGCCCTGTGATTCAGCGTTTCATAATCCAGTTTTGGATATTACACTTCGAGGAAGATGCCAGCGAACTGGAGGGCAAGGAGGATGGTCAGGGGGCTGGAAACCAAGCCCCGTGAGGAAAGACGGAAAGAACTGGGCACGTTTAGCCTGGAGAAAAAAAGACTGAAGGGAGATAGGATAGCCCTTTGCAAAGACTTGAAAGGTAGACCTACAGAGGAGGGGCAGGATCTGTTCTCAATCATCCCAGAGTGCAGGACATGTCATAATTTAAGTCCAACTTAAGCTAAATCTAAGGAAAAACGTCTTTACTGTTGCAGCAGTACAACCATGGAATCCATGACCTCGGGAGGGGGTGAGCGCTCCGATGCTGGAGGCATTCCAGAGGAAATCAGAAAACCATCTGTCTGCTCTGCTTTGATTTGGGCTCCTGCCTTGAGCAGGGGGTTGGACTTGATGGCCTTAGAAGCCCACTCCAAACTTCACTATTCTGTGATTCTATATAATCCAGAATTTTAAGGGCAATGTTGGCTCTTTAGAATCTGACCTCTGACCCTTCCAATTCCCACTTGGACACTCCAGGCGGCTTCCCAGCCACCCTTGGGAAAGATCTGTCTCACACCGCAGCTCTCGAAAATCAACCAGAGAGCCCATCGCCACACACTGGTGGGCAGTCTGTAAGACACTTTAGGGCTAGAGCACCCATCTGCATATCCTCCAGTTCACACTAATGAAGGAACCACTGGTTTGTGCAATTTGTGACAGTAAAAAAGATTTAATGTACCGTATTTTTCGCACCATAAGACGCACCTTTTCCCCACAAAACAGGGGGGTGGAAAGTCTGTGCGTCTTATGGAGCGAAGAAAACAGATTATATTTTCCTGTTTTCTTCTCCTTAAAAATTGGTGCGTCTTATGGAGCGAAAAATACAGTATTCACCTGGAGGAAAGGTGGATTGATCCTTTGCAGGAGTGAAACCAAATCCAGGCTTTTACCCCTTTCAGATTACTGTACTGTCGCCTTCAATGGGTGTCACTCCATTTGAGACAGAAATAACACCCGTTTCTGAAGACCGAGAGTCCAAGCAGGTCCTTACCGTCCCCAGTCCAAGGTTCCACAAGGAGATTTTCGGGTCCTGATTTATCTTCCTTTCCTTTGACATCACAGGCCTGCAGGGTCAGCCGCAAGAGAGTTCCTGGGGAAACAGGACAAAAGAGGGGCTGACCCACAGCTGTTCTCTGAGAGCAGAAGCACTTTACAACACACACACACGCAAGAGAGAGAGAGAGAAAAACACAACTCTGGAAGTCTGCTCACCTGCAAATAGGGTTGGAAAACCTACACCTCAGGGCAGTTTCCATGCAGGAGGGGAAATGTGACTAACGAAGGATACAGCCGGCTGCTTAAAAGTCCCAGAGAGAGAGAGAGAGAGAGAAACACAACTCTGGAAGTCTGCTCACCTACAAATAGGGTGGGAAAACCTACACCTCGGGGAATTTTCCATCCAGGAGGGGAAACGTGACTAACGAAGGATACAGCCGTCTGCTTAAAAGTCACAAATACTTTTCAAACCTGTATATATTCCCTAAGCCTCAACCTTAAGTGGACTATTACTACCTCCAAGGGGTAGGGAGAGCGATCTTTACCGTATTTGTACAGCAAGTTTTGTCTGACGTTGGCCATGGAAGCGATCAGAGAAGCCGCTTTATAAGGGGTCTCCAGATGGCCCGCGATGGCGCTGAGCGAATTCAGCACTTTGGCTATGCTCCCTCTGGCCAGGGAAAAAGCCAGCAAGGTAAGATCGACGTCTGGAGATGCACAACAGCTGAGAAAGAGGAGAGATACTTTAAAATTAAGAATGCTCTAGTTCTTTCTGTTTTAAAAGTTTTTTTAAAAAGGTTTATAGACCATCTAGACTGGCAATGTCTTTGCAATGGTTAAGAAATATGGGCATGGGGGGGGGAGTAAATTCACAGGTTTTCCAAAAGAAAAAAAAATCAGCCAAGATGGTGTCAAAGTATTAAAATATTGTTATGGTAAGAGGCAGCAATAAGACTTAAAATATGAAAATTAAACAAGTCAAAGGACGGAATGTCTACTAGAGAGTCTCAGTGCTAACAACGAGGACCCCTGGCAGTATTTTATGAGAGGGCCTTGGACAGAGGCAGCAGCTACAGAGAATGCTATTTTCCTCCCAGTCATTTTTTTTTATTAGTGACGCAGAGAAAAATCATCCAGAAATGACCTGGTCAGGAATATATAGGACATTTTTTCAATACTCAGAGGCTTTGGGACAAAACCGATAAAAGCCCAAGGAAGACTCTACTTTATCAACCTTGGAAATAACGTATTCGATTTAACACCTTGATGTTAAACCTGTCGTTTTGGTGTTAAAAGGGAGCAATGCATTCAACCCCTTAGAAAATTTCAGAAGTCTTTTTAAAAAATGATTCTTTCAGATTTATCAGGTGCCTTGTCTACCTGTTTAACACGAACATTTGTGTTTTTAACATAAATGCACCAAGTTAACACGTCATTTGCAAGCGCTGGAGGAGACACAGAGGAAGTGTGTCGTTCCTGCTGCCCCCATTCACCACTCAAGATTTCGTGAACATCAACACTATCTTCCCCTTTTTTAGTTCCTTTTGACATGCGACGGAAGGTCTGAAGTACACAATTGCATTTTGGATTCTGTTCACACTTATTTAGCATCCTCCTGTTTATGTTCTGGCTTCGTTCGAGCGATACCTAGTGATTCCCAGGAGGAAGCTGTCCACTTCTTCCAGGACGCTGGGAGATAAGAAACTGGAGACGTCCGTGGAACCGGGGGACAAGGAGAGGGGAGGCATATGCTGGAGCGCCTTCCTGGAGGACAGGAGGGAGAGAAGGAGCCATTAGAAACCCTCTGAAGTGGATCTCCACAAGGAAGTGGTGCCGAGGCTGAAAATCGAGGAGGTGGTCCCAAAACACCACGCAAGAACCACAGAACCATGGAGCTGGAAGGGGGCCTATGAGGGCCATCAAGCCCGAACCCCCTGCTCAAGGCAGGAATCCAAATCAAAGGGTTAAAGGAAGTGTGTAGGTGAGATAACGCATCAGGTCTGGGCCTGGCTACTCTTACTTTATTGCGTTTTATTGACAATTCCTCGTTTTTAGTCAGTCCCGTCTAGGAACCAGTTTTGTACCCCATTTGAGGCAGCCCCCTGCCCCAAGAGCTACTCATGGTTCAAGTGGTTAAACTGCAGTCCTGCAATCAAGACTCTGTTCATGGACCCAAGTTCTATCCCTTCATGGACCCACGTTCTATCCCAACGGTTTCAGGTAGCCAGCTCCAGGCCGACTCAGCCTTCCATCTTTTGCAAGAAGGTAAATCCATTTCACTGGGCGGGGGGGGGAATGTGTAGCCGGTGTAACTAAACTGTAAACCGCCCAGAGAGTTCTTTAAGTGCTATAGGGCAGTATATAAGCAGCACAGTTTGCTGCTGCTTCTTCTTCTTTTGCTTTTTACTATAAGTTAGTGTCAAACCATAAAGCTGAAATTCAGCAACAACCCCAGCAAACACTGACAATTTTTCGTTGCATGAATTTTACACTCCTAAAGCCCAAGAAGGAAAAAACATCTGCGGTTCTCCATGTTGCGGTGCAAACAGACTCATGGCAAAAAAGGGGGCTATCCGGAGAACAACAGGGCCAGAGGAGAGAGAGGACACTCACTGAGTATTCTGCAGGATGGCTTGTACGATGGCGGGGTTGGTGTCCATGGACGCCGTGATCAGAGAGGTCAGGAGCGACCAGTACCATATCGCCGAAGCATCGCAGACGGAGACGCCACCCTTCTTCACCCTTTGGTAGCCCGTGGCCCGGAGGCCGTGGATTCTGGTGTCGCACCCGTCGCTCAGGCAACGCTTGATGTTGATCTGTACGTCTGTCAATGGGAAGCAAACCAGGGTAATTTCTCCCAGCCATTGCCCGGGACGAAAGCTCAAGAGCTCAAATAGAAGTTTTAGCTTTTCCCAAGAGGGCTTCGGAAAAGCTAAAAGGGAATCCCATTCCACGGGTGAGGAGTGTTCCAAGCCCAAATCGGGGCTATCGAGGGTGGGCTCAAGAGCAACCATAATTGGAGGGCCCCAGGTTCCCCATTTACAGCTTAGGCATCTAGTGTCAATACATACAGAGTTGCAACATATATATTTATATATAGATCTTTAAGAAACAGATGTACAGCAGAGCCCATTGCAACTTGCAACTTAGGACAAAACGGAGGGATTGGGTTGACGCCTCGGTCCCTCACCGAGCCGTGATGAGCATTTGACCCCATCATCCTGTCCTCAAAGGGCAGAGCATCCATTCCACCAGTTCTCCAAGGCACACCAGAAAGTCGACGATCATCGTCTAAAGCCATTTTCCCCCCTGGACAAGCCTTTTCCAGAAACGGTACCAAGCAGCTGCCAAGTTTCCAATTGGGGCTTCACCCCACGCCATGCGATGACCCCACATTCAAGGCGACAATACAATCCACAAATGGGCAATATATTTAACAGGATCAACGACAACTTCGTAAAATGCACCAATTCTTCACTAAGCCAGATAATAATAATTTTAAAAAAGCTGGGGTGGGGGGAAAACAAAGGAACATCATCTGGGAAACCCAATTCCAAAAATTTCCAGCAAACGGTTACTTCCCCTGAATCCTTTACATGGAAGCCAGAGGTGGACCGGTTTCGAGCCAAGCATCCAAACTAGGACTGTTCTGCTCCTCTGACCTACAACACCTACACACTCAAGACATCAAAGAACTGGTGGCGAGCTCAGTGGTTGGTGAATCTGGCTGCTGAGCCCAAGGTCGGGAGTTCGATTCCCCCACGGGGCCGCTTTGTCAGGAGCTGAACTTGATGGTCCAGAGGGTGCCTTCCAGCTCTGCCGTTCTAAGATCATTATTATTATGAACACAGAGCAAGAGGTCAGGAGGCCGTCAATACATGGATGAGAGAGGCACCTGTTTATGGATTGGCTTGCTTCCAGGCTTTAAAAAAAAAGGCTACTTTGTGAGCCGAATGAGACAATGATCGGGCAAGCTTTCCCACAGGCTCCAAACCTGCTTTAAGACAAGTGAAAGCAAGGCAATCCTATCACGTCTCCGGCCACCCGTTTCAGCCCGTTTTAAACTCCTGGGGCTCATCCTAGCTTCGTTCCCAAGTGCAGACAAGCTGAAGGCAACACCCTTGATCTCTACACCCCGGACAAGTATTTCTTAAATGTTCAATTCCCAGACACTTAAAAAAAATCTACAACATGTGTTGGAGGGGGTTTCCTGGTGCCGCCCTGAGAAAAGCATCGCTCCGACTGAGCCCTGCATATCCCTTTTAGAGAGAAGTCTGAGTGGCTGAAGCCATTTGGCCATCTGTACGTCTCTAAGGCTTCTTCTGCAATTAGGTGACATTTGGAGATGGTGGAAGACTCCTTAAGACCTCACACATCCCTATCAGGTTACTGATAGGGATTTTTTTTTCCGCTTCCTTTTTTAAATTTACAAATTCAGACACTTCTGCATCTCCGGGCGATCCCCTACCCATGGGCAAAGAGGCCATTCGCCCTCTTCCACTTTTAAACTGACAAGCCTTTCATCGCTGAAGTCTGATATTGGCACATGGGCTGATCCTAGCCAGTGACTGGACCAAAATCCCAAGAAGAGATAAAATTCTGAGAAATGCAACACTTCTTCTCATGCTAGGGTGTCTGTCCAGCTGATACGTTCCACACTGTAATAGAAAATAGCCTTTACCAAGGGACAGCACCCATTCTGAATGAAAACCTATTTGAATTTCTGCTAACCCATGGTTTTGAGATAGCAACACGCTTCATCACCGCAGGGCGGCCCCCTCTACTGAACAGCCACGTTTCCACTTAAAAGCCAAAGCATGCGGTTTAAAAGCCTTGCCTGCTGCTCTCTCTCTCCCCCTCTCTGTCTCCCAGGGGAGCGCCTGTCTCTTCAAGCTGGGCTTTCATTAAAGCGCCAACCACACCTCCTGGCTACTTCCTGCAAAACCACAAGGAGAATGAATCCACTTTCCCTGTCCTCTCTTTAGAAAAAAAAAATAAAGAAGATTCTTTCCTTTCTACTTGAGTGCGTGCAGGAGGCAGCAGGAACAGGCTGCCGGGCCTTTCTCTCAAAGCCCAGCTCTCTGGAAAACAAGAGAGGAAAGATCAATTCTGCTTTAAGTTGGTGCTTTTTGGGCGGGTCGGACGACCTCATCAGACTCTTGTGCAGATAAAGCAGGGAGGGGGAAAGCAACAAAAATCATCTTGGCCTTAGGAAAGGAAGGATATTAATGTAGCAGTAGTAGTCAATGTACTAATACTGGCCAGACAGTGTTTGCACTAATGAGGCAGTATATAGGTTGAATTGCAGTAGGAACCTCGTATGGATCAGTTTCAAGTATCCCCCATCTCCGCAGATGCTGAAAACTGCAGATGACAGAGGGAAGGATATTAATGTAGCAGTAGTAGTCATTGTACTAATACTGGCCAGAGAGTGTTTGCACTAATGAAGCAGTATAGTGGTGCCTCGCTTAACGGGTGCTCCGTTTACTGATGAAACCGCACAGTGATGAACTTTTTGCAATCGCAAAAGCAATCGCATTGTGATGTTTCCTATGCGGTTTTTTCGCTTTGCGATGATCGGTTCCCTGTTTCGCTTACCGATCATCGCAAAGAGATGATTTTTTAACAGCTGATCGGCGGTTCCAAAATGGCC